CAGAAAGAGACTGGGTACCAGCTATTCTAATATGGCAAAATAATATATATTATCATATTACATAAATACGTACAAATAAGAATATTCTTGGGCGCTATGAGCGGCTGACTAATGGCCCCATTTGTGTCTGAGGGTAGAGCGCTCAAGTTGTGAGGGATAACGACGATGATAACGGCGAGACATGGACACGACCGTTAGTGGCGATTGGTATGGGGCTAGGCAAATTGGTTCAACTCCGCTACCCACCGGGCTCCGGCCGGACAAACAGGTGAAAGCGGGATGAGGATAGAGTGTTCCTGTATTCCATGCTTTAGAGACATACATGGGAATTAGGATCTGGATTGAGCAGTATTCTAGGCTACTCTAGTGAATCTGAGCACGTTGATAATTTGGGTCGCCGATTGAAGGTCGGACTGGCAGGTGTCACCAGATGGGCGTTGTATTTTTACCTCTTCAACTTCCGCCTCTTCAAGCATAACCGTCCTTCAAACATCATATATGCCACCAGATCCAGAAGAAAAGAATACAAATCGGTCTGCAAGACTATTTGGACGTGGACGAGAAGCGAGGCGGCCTGGAGACCCACTGATTGTAACGGGCGAGACGACAGCATGGGAGATCTATAACCACAAGGCATCGGAGGTCGATAGGGAGATGATCAAGGATTGGAACGACAGTTTGAATACGCTGCTGATATTCGTAAGTCTACTCTTTCAAGTCTCATCGAACTCGTGTTCTCAGCGCCTGACAATCGACCCGTTCTTGACAGACTGCGCTGTATTCGGCTGTGTTGACGGCGTTCATCATCGAGAGTATGAAGCTTCTAGAGGAAGATCCGACCGAGACGACACGCGATATCCTCCTCATCATTTCCAAGCAACTGGCGAATACATCTCACCCCGCTTTTGAACAAGTCGCGTACGAAACTCCTCGATATGCCGTCGTCGTCAATGGCCTCTTCTTCTCAAGTCTCTCGTGCGCACTCATTGCGGCACTACTATCAGTTTTGGCGCTACAGTGGGTCGCCAATTACGACATGGGTCTCAACACCTCGTCCCCTCGTAAACGGGCGCTTCAGCGACATATTCGGTTTCGCGGAATCGAGAAGTGGAAGATGGCAGAGATCATTGCATCGCTTCCACTTCTCATCTTCGTCGCGCTGTTTCTGTTCTTTATCGGAATAGCCGATTGGCTTTGGCACATGAACCGAGCGATCTCGGGAATTGTTATTGGGGGAATTGGGGTCGGAGGTTTATTATATACTATCACAAATCTTATCAGCATCATCAAAGTGGAAGCGCCATTTCGTACCCCGATATCCAAGGAGCTGGTTGGTATGGCTCGGCAGGTCATGCGATGGCCCCTGCAGATCACCAAAGCCTTCTCAAGTCGGACCAGGAGTGAAGAGGCAGAGGAAGATGAAGAAAGTGAGAAGGAGCAACAGTTGACGTTCATCAAACATGAGGAGAAGAAATTCGAAGAGAAAGGCGCGATTACGCTGGACGGACTTTTATGGCTGGCAAATCACACCGAGATATCACCAACTTCGCGTGACGCCCTGATCATTCTCATCAAAGAGTTGACAGAGGTACCGGCGTTATCACTAATGGATGAGGCGAAGATGAAAGAGGCACCTTGGAAAGCGATCTTTGAAACGTTATGCACTCCGTATATAGGAAGGGATGAATTTGACGGGGCTGAACTGGAGATGGCGAGATGGATATGCAAAGGAATGGGGATAGTCCCAGCATTCTTGTCACCCACCTGTTACCGATTCCGTGAGGTCTTATGCGTATCGAACGATCCAGCAGTATGGAGTGTGGCTTATTTTGCAACCTATCAACAAAGAAACGGACCATCTTTGCACGGCATGATAGTCGCATTTGAGCTCACAAATGAATCCATAGGGTACAACTATCTTCATTTCATGCTACTGAATGCCAAGAAAGAGTGGCCGGACATGGAGACATGGCAACGCAAACAGTTTCTCTGGTCCATGGCACGTGCATGGTCCATTCCTTCCGCTGTCATCCGGGATGGATCATCCTCAATCATTATTCCTGTGCACTGTATAGAGTTGATCCTGGACTTTGCGTTCCCACATGTCGACTCGGGTATATTTGAGGCTCGTTTTCAGACAGCAGCGTGGGCGGATGGAACAGGGGAAGTGGCCGAGTGGGCCACCGTCGTCCCTAAACTCCTTCAGATGATGGCACAGCAGTTAATCGTTCAAATATCAGACAGGTCTAGTTCACTTGCAGATTATAACAAAGAATTAGAACTATTTTCATCGATAACAGGGATAAAACGATTGAACATGACCCAAGAGATGGACGATTTCATGTGGATCATGGTCACAAAAGGTGCCGGACGTGGTTATTCTGAAACACTACGAGTATGTGAAGTACTCTGGAAAGGACTGGGGAGCAGGTCAACCGCCCCGGCATGGGTTGGTCTAATTCCGGCACTAGATGGTTTTGTGACTCGACTACCTCAAGACTCATTTCATTTCTATCCAAATGTCATTCGTTTCATCGACCAGCTTTTGTCATTTAGTCCTGGGAAGGACTATTTCGAATGGGAGACATTGACACCGATCCAGGACCCATGCATCGTATGGATGGTATCATGGGAATGCCCTACTGACACTCAATTTCATGGGCTGAGTCACCCCAATTTCGGCAGCTGGAATGACATCATGCAAAACGAAACCATCCGTCTGTTCGAACCTCCCTTCTACACGCAACAAACCATTGTCGATTCAGCTGCCCGGATCGATTTTCTCCGTGCCATCATACTCGGTGGCCCATCAAATGTCTGCACTGCAGTGTTTAACCAGCTCCTAAGGTACGGTTGGGATGGTGACAATTCTGACAAGGTGATTAGTCTCTTGCAATGTTAGGATTCACTTCTAATGCTTTTGTACAGTGGCACCGACTGTTCGCTTTCCCAGTCCTCGGTCGTATACTCGAGTCCTTGGCAGATACGCACAATGCTTCATTTGACAGGGTGTTACACCAAGCATCTAATTGTGGATGGTTCCATGAAGAATTCCGGATAGTCAATGGACTTGATTGGTTGCCGAAAATTGCCCTGAGTCACATACACGATGATGGTGACCCTGGAGAATACGATATATTGACTGGTATTCTAGTCGATCAAA